TCCGTTTATGTAACTATCTGATGTTACGCTTTTATTGCAGAAATTATAATGAATTCAAAATGTAGAAAGATACACTGCATTTTACATTAATTCGCCATAATTTGAAATGCAATATTTCTCAACTTTGTAACTAAACATAGTAGAATATAATGATTAGAATGCCTGTAACGGGCAGGGTTTAAGATCGGAATAATAGTCGATTAGTCGCATTTATCAGATATGCGCTTCACGTAGTATGCACTTCGTAATATCAAATACTATTATTTTATTGTGTGATGAATTTAACTGGATCAGTGGTAATATGTGATATTAATTTCCCATCAATATCTTTACTGGTTGGTCTACAACAACAAATAAAAAGGAGCTCAGAACAATTCTAAATTTCAGGCAATCAAGACTTTCCAATCATTCTAGACTTGAGTTGGACTCCCTTTGTAATTTATTCTTTCGGGTCTGGGAGACAGTCTACGTCACAGCACAATAAGAAGTCCAGCTAACTGGCTAACATGGCTAAATGTGCTCTTTTGTACGCAAGAACCCGATCAGTGAGGGGTCATTTATCTTCCTTATTCGACTGCTTGTAAAAATATGATATCTCACCTCACAGCTGGTTAATATATATGTTCTGAGTATTCAGAACCGAATGAGTTAGTTGGTACTGCATATGTATATGGACTCCATTTGAAATGACTGCAGCGCTCCATTTTGAAAACAAATTGCGTGTGCGGTTTAACGCCCTTCTCATCAATATCCCGGTGATATGACGGCGGTCTGTTGTATAAGAAATAAATGCAACTTGAATCTTGAATCCTGAAAGTTGTACCTTTTCCGCAAATACGTATCACACGCAGTATACAGTGTATCAAGTGGAATATACTGCATATCACATGCAGTATACAGTGCGCCGCGAGCTCGGCGGTGGGCATGCGCACACATTTCCTTCCCCTCTCCCTCAGGCAAACACGTACCTCATGGAGGCCACGAGGTCACACGACTCGTCCGTTGTCTTATACGGTCAGACGTGAGATCTTCCGGACGACCTCTGCACTAGAGGCATGTGGATTGTGGCTGAGGTACAACGTGGTCTGGCCCCAGTACCTTTTTAAGAATATGATCAACACTTTTAGAAGCTATATGCAGGTAAACATAGACCATCTAATTTAGAGAAGATCTCACAATAAAACGCTATGGACCCGCGGACGGACTTCAAGACGTATCAGGTAGAACTACTTCGGCAGATATAAGTTGGTTACGGCTTCCTAACTGTAACACACAGTCAACGTCTTTTTCACACATTTTTGATGGGGAGACAATGCGATAACGAGACCGTGAAAATTAAATTGTCGAGTTGTCACCCTATGGTAAAATAAAAAGGGTTATTCAAAGCGCGACTTGCACTTTGTGTGAGTTCATTGGAGTATGAACCTTCATAGATTGAGGGCCAAATAGTGTATGAACGTCGTCGCTTACTTCCACTTTGTGTGAGTTTGTTGGAGTATGAACCTTCATAGAGTGAGGGGCAAACTGTATGAATGTCGGAGCTTGCTTGGGGAAACCCTAGGGAATGTGGAAGTAGTCCGTCAGTGTTTACGTCATTTCAAGAATATGGTCTCGTGAAAAACGAATGAACGTCAAAATGTGTATTTCATACACTTATGAACTTCAATTTTTGCGGTCATGTGACCGACCTCTCGTCCAATGGAAAAGCCGTATAACGTGTAAACTTCACATTACAAGATTATTTACTGTTATAACCAAATAAAACACAACTCATTGTCCGATAGAGGTAACTGTACATAGCGGATGGAAATGTTATGCCAATAAACTTGGTTTTGACTTCTTGCCGCGTGTCTGAATTCCATTAACAGGTTTCATATCCTAAAACTGACTTATCAACAAATCTCGCTGCCCTGCGCACGACAGATACTAGATCAAGCCACGCCAGAAATACGAAACCTACTGCTCCCTAAAGGAGGCCTTGGGTATCACGTGCGTCAGGGGACCAGAGCCATCTGATTGGCCAGTAACAGTTGCACAAGGCGGAGCAGAAAGCATCGTTTTTCCGTCCATTTAACGCTTGAAAAACTCGACGCTTCCGGACGCTCACCAATGAATCAATTTTAATGATTTTTCCGTCGTTTTTTCCGTCGAATGACCATATAGGGAGAACAACGACGTTTTCGTGTTTGCAGTGTTACGCATTTTATTTAGGACCTTGGCAATCGCCTCCTGCGCCTGCTCCTTGTCCTTCGTGTCCTTGCCACACCCCATCAGATTTCCAAAACAGTGATCGTGTCGCTTATGTGCTTCTTCAACATGTCCACACGGAAAAGTGTATTTTTATTGGAAACGGAAGTCAAATCTCGCGTACATCGCGTAAAAACCAAACTGAAATCGATCTCGGATGCTGAGTTTGATTCGAGAAACCCAACTGATTTAACAACAAAGCTGAGTTATTTTTGCAAACTATGAAAATCCTATATCAACATACCAAAATTAGAAAACTGCACCAAATTCTAAATGTTTCAAGCTATAGGTCTCGTTTACTCGTCGGCCACCCTGGAAATCGTTCGAATCGTGATGTACAAGATCTACGTTCCAGGTCAGATGAGTTCTGTCAAAGAGAATATTATCGGTCTGCCTTTCAACGTAGTATTAACTATCTAGGCTAGAATAAAAACATAAAAACTTATAGATAATGTTGATTTCAAATTGATTTGTTTACATAACTTATAAAACTAATTTATGTACATCAAGGAAAAAACCTCTGAACATATCAGCATATATCAGCGAACACGCTATGCTGTGGAGGGAGGTTACTTGTAGTGATGTCATATTAGTATGCGTTAACATCAACATCGTTGTACATATTTGTTACTTTGTTTGAAGTGCAAGTGAATTACATAAAACATTCATTTCATGAAGTAGTTTTCTGTTTCAATCTTGAATTATAATTTTGACCTCTGTTAACTATCTTTTCACCCAAGTAAAACAATTCATTGCTGCATTATGTATAGATGTATCAATCACTGTTTCCTTTTATCTAAAATGCCATAAAATGAATGACGCTTTTGATGATCTGATGTGTGTTTGACCATAAAAAAATAGACATTCGTCGTGTCGTGTAGCGCATAGTCTTCCTGAAAGATGCTTTGAGAATTTAACACACTGCAACCTGTACATTTTGGAGAATCGTGAACTGTTCATTGTGCCAAATTTATATAGAAGGTAAAAATAGATGTCTGCCATTCCATGTCTTTAGGGAGTCTACAGAGAAGCAAATTGGTCACATTATATTTTCATTAATGTATACACAAGTGTGGACAAAACTAGTTGTTTTACATTTGTATTTATCGTTTGATTGGCGGAACATTGATGTCTAAAGGTTGCATCAGGTGGACGTTTATATAGGGCTGGCCATTTGAAATTCATGGATGGAGGCGGATCATGTACGATATCCATGTACCATAAAATGTGGCCACATTTTAGAGGCTTTTCCATCAACAAACATTTAACATTTAACACTTTTTGCTTTTCAAACCAGTCTTTTATTTCACACCATGGGATAGAAAACGTATTCTATACAACTCCGTTAAATTGCAAGGTCGGAGTTTGGCCCATGACCTCAATTCTCACACAGTCTTCATTTTTAAAACCATGCGTCTGAAAATTAACTCAGTTTTTGGTCTCACGAAATCCGACTTGTATGCAACCCACCGCCGTGTGAATGTCGAGTTGTATACAACTTCAGCTCATACAACTACTTACATATAACAAGTTGTACCAACTTGTTGTAGTGTGTGAATGCCCATAAATTCAGGTCACTTGATGCGAATGTGTTGAGGAAAAGGACAATATATTTCCGTGGTGTTTTGCTGACCAGGAACCAAACTATTCCAACACAAATATCGATACGTATACGTTAAGTATAAAACAACACATAAGAAATGATGAAATCACACTTCATTAAAAAGGAAGTTATAGTGAAATGGATGGTGATTTAGTGATGTGTAAAGAATGGCGACATTTACGATGTACCTAATTTTCAGATGTCATTTTCCCTAATATTGCTTTGCCTAAAATGACAGTGGATGATATCACAGAACAGGGAATTTCCCGCATTAATAAACTATGGAGTGTTTTTGTGTGCGTGGTATATGCTGATCTTTGTTCTACTTCAAAATAGGGTTGAAGAGGAGGGACATGTATATTCTCTTTCACCCAGGGGCTTAATACGTGCAGTCCCGGTACTTCTGTTACGGTTGGCTTGATATTTACCTTTGTATCTTTCACAGTATTGCTACTTTCATTTGACACATTGCTGTGAGGCAAAACATACCAAGCTGATCAGAAATATTCCTTTTTAAATAATTTGCAACACACATCCATGGGAAAAGATGTTAAACTGTGCCGACAATATGATGCCTGTGTTCTACATGTGTATGCGTATGTCATGAAGCCAGCGTATCGGCGCCCTGGGAATTACCGATAATTGGCCAAAAATACAGCCGGCCGCTTTAGTTTTTAGACCTTGGCCGCACAGCCGTGACGTCATCAGCAATGTGAGGTCCCTGTCATTGTGCATTTGGCGCCACAATAGCTGAGCGAACCTCGTCTCAGTCTGAGGTTACGGGTGCAGCGAGATGTAAACAAACAGTTTTTTTTTGTTTTTTTCACAATTAATCATAAACTTATGACACACAATCAACACAGAATAATTACAGCGACGTGCATAAATATATAACGAGATGTGGTGTTTTCATACCAATCACACATCATCTACTTTTATAATTTGTAGTTAATTTTCTTACCTGTTCATGTGAAGTTTCAAACACAACAAATGACAAAACGAGTGGACAAGTTTTTACAAGTTTTAATTATATTCAAAAACAACATTTTCATATTAAAACTGAAACAGAAAGCACGACGACGTTAAGGGCACCACGTCACTATCAGTGACACCGTCCTCCTTCACCGTCTACATAAACACTACACCTACTTCAATGAGCGCCGTGGGACTTCAGCAGTCTCACCACTTGCCAATGTTTGTTAACTTTCGCCACAGAGACCGCTGTCTTCCTAAATTTGGTCCTGGCGTCGATGTCCACAATGTTCAAAGACAGCACATACTTCACCGTCTCCACGTCTCCTGACGAACTGGCCATGTGAAGGATGGTGTAATCGACAGAGTTCGGCAGTAACGCATAGGCTCCTTCACTCACAAGGAACTCAAGCACTTCTCTACGTCCCCAGTATGCTGCCTCCAACACCGGTGTCACGCGCATATTGGTCACTCTACAGTTGATGTCGACATTCTGTGACAGAATCCGCCTCACGCCTTCCAGGTCCCCCTTCTTGATAGCACTAGAGAGGTCGTGGCAGTCTACTGGTGATGGAGTCGCTGTAACACAAAGTAAACTCTAAACACATCCCGACATCTTCGTCATACATCTACTGTGTTTACATCTCAAAGTGTTGTACGTGACACGATGCAACATTTAAACACTTCCGAAGGCAACAATGACTGACAACAGCACAACGATGAAGAGGAATGACGACAGCTGGTTCATGTAATTAAGAATTTTTATATTTTTTTTCAATGATTATAATATTTCTGTTACATCCAGTAGTTGTAGCATTATTCTGTGTATATCTGGAGATTATTAACGTTTGGTGGATTGATTTATATATGATGAGACAGTCAGTACAATTGCTATTTGGAATTATTGGGATAATAAGATGTAACACTGGCTTTATACCAGACTGTTTGTTTGTTGTTTTACGGCGCACTCAGCAATATTCTATCTTTACGACGGCGGTCTGTAAATAATCAAGTCTGGTCCAGACAATCGAGTGATTGACAACATGAGCACATGTGGTTTATAAATACTGTCCGCATTAGACAAACTTGATGTCTTTTAACATTGAGATTGTTGTTCATCTACACCATTTGTCTGTGCACGTTGGTTTGATTGAGTCTTCTGGTGGTACTGTCAGTGCAACTACTGACTTAAGATAATAATACAGAAAACTACGGTTATAACGAACTCAAAGGGATCACTTAATTTAGTTCATAATAACCGTAGTTCGTTATAAGCATATATACAACAAATGGCCGGGACCAAAAATATTGTTCGTTATATCAGTCAGTTCGTTATAAGCATGTTCGTTATAAACGTGGTTTACTGTAAATGAAACTGAAACAGAATATGCTGTACAGAAAACTAAATGTAGCACACAAGCATTACAAATACTGGCCACAGACAAGTTATTACCCTTGAAAATATTCACTGGTGATTTAGATTTAAATACATTCGTTCAAGTAAAGGTATAAATATACGGTTGCTTAGTGATTGATAACATCCTCAAATAAGATTCAGATTGTGGTTCATCTACCCCGAGCGTCTATCTCGAAAAAACAACAACACTTCCTTAATCCATTTTCTAAAGCTTGAATCGATGTGTATAAATCTGTACGGTGCCTTTGTGATAACCGTTGATGAAAACTACTTCTGTTTCGGCTAGGTGAACACTACCAAGCTGACTGTCGTTTATTTCCCGATGAACGTCAGTATGCCACGTGATTACGTTGTCAATCGAGCGGAGGCATACAGAACTACTTTAGGGGAATTCCTCAATGTCTAAAAATAACATTAACAATCATAAGGGAAAACTGACAGCGACATCGATTCAGGCTATGAACGATGCAGGCTTTGAAGCCAGACAGATCATGTATATGTCGGGTCACCGAAATGAAGCATACATTCGAAGCTACAACAGAGAATGCTCGAATTACCAAAAGAAATCACTGAGCTCCACACTGTCGTGTAATGGTGGGTGCAACTTTTATTTCAATGAATGACATTACCTTAGCCGCCATTTTCTGCCGATTGTAAAACTAAGGGATGTCACTCCAAATGGAATGTTTGGGACGGATGACGTGACGACGTGACGACTCTCCGTGTTGATATAGTTCGCTTTCAATAATTAAAGTCTGATGTTTAATGGACTGTTTTGTTATGATTTATGTATCTGTCAATATGAGGATTGAGGTTGTATTTGTTGACGTTCATCAGCTGATACAAATACAACTTCAATCCTTAAGTGATCCGTTTTTACTTAAGAATAAACAAATCTAACAAGAGATATATATTTAGATAGGAATATAATCGTTCTATTGACAAGGGAGTAGACACAATAAAGCAGTAGACACGGCATGGTCATTCCAATATATTTAATTAGAAAAGTATTATTCTACTAAAAGGTTTTCTGGTAGGCATTCGACAAGAAGTACATAGTTCAGTGAATGTATTTGGAGACATAGGATGGAATCAACTTTTAGGTATATGCATATAACTGTGTGTTTGAAGTATAAGAAATACCTAAAAAGTTAAATGTGAAATGATAAAAAACAACCTCCAGAAAGCAGTTGAACACATGACACTAATCGTCTAAACAGACAGCTTTTCCAGATCTAGTATCCAAACATCGGGAATTCAGGTTGCAGGTCTTGTATGCACAGGGCCCAGTGAGGACCTTTGAACACCAACGAAAGGGACCATTTTCATATGTATTTATTGCCTTTACGATGAAGTATAGGCGGTCCATATACCCAGATTTTCAGTTAAACGGATGAGACGCAATAATAAAATAAAAGAGGAACCTTTTGCGCTGCAAACATGAGTGATTTGTTTCCATATACATGTATGGTTTAAAATCACGCAATATACTATTCAGCCTTAAAGAAATTCCAAGGCAGAACGTCTGCATCAAATACAGTATTGTGTTACTACAAATGACTACATCAGGTTTACACATGTCAAATGACTTTAATCTCGGTAATGAATGCTGTTTTATTTCCTTGCTTTAGAAAACATATTTTCATTTTTTAACGGAAAGTGTCTTAGATTGAAATCCTCGTTCTGTATTACTCCGTCACCAGATGATTGAACACCTGATGTAAAGATATATATTATGTGATAAGGTTTTCTTAACAATGTAATTTGAGATTGAAACAGCAAACTTCTGTACTGAGACAACCGACTTCTTACAATTCATAATTCATGTTGTACAATAACTTCGTTTTGTATACAACTGTAGATGAGTTTTATTGTGACGTTTTACAATAAATGGCTTTCCTATGGATGATTGTCCAGTCACATGAATGTCATATGAATGGCACCTGACAACAATCGCTCACTCGTCACTCATGCCATGGGGATTCTGGATTAGAATAGGTCCCCAGTTACCTATGCTGATCTCCAGGTCCGGTTAGGTCCCCAGTTACCTATGCTGGTCTCCGGGTCCGGTTAGGTCCCCAGTTACCTATGCTGGTCTCCGGGTCCGCTTAGGTCCCCAGTTAACTCAACTGGTCTCCGGGTCAGATTAGGTCCCCAGTTACCTCCACTGGTCCCCTGGTCAGGGTAGGTCCCCAGTTACCTATGCTGGTCTCCGGGTCCGGTTAGGTCCCCAGTTACCTATGCTGGCCTCCAGGTCCGGTTAGGTGCCCAGTTACCTATGCTGGTCTCCGGGTCAGATTAGGTCCCCAGTTACCTATGCTGGTCTCCGGGTCCGCTTAGGTCCCCAGTTAACTCAACTGGTCTCCGGGTCAGATTAGGTCCCCAGTTATCTATGCTGGTCTCCAAGGGTTAGGTCCCCAGTTACCTATGCTGGTCTCCGGGCCCGGTTAGGTCCCCAGTTACCTATGCTGGTCTCCGGGTCCGTTTAAGTCCCCAGTTACCTATGCTGGTCTCCAGGTCCGGTTAGGTGCCCAGTTACCTATGCTGGTCTCCAGGTCCGGTTAGGTGCCCAGTTACCTATGCTGGTCTCCGGGTCAGATTAGGTCCCCAGTTATCTATGCTGGTCTCCAAGGGTTAGGTCCCCAGTTACCTATGCTGGTCTCCGGGTCCGGTTAGGTCCCCAGTTACCTATGCTGGTCTCCAGGTCAGATTAGGTCCCCAGTTATCTATGCTGGTCTCCAAGGGTTAGGTCCCCAGTTACCTATGCTGGTCTCCGGGTCAGATTAGGTCCCCAGTTACCTGTGCTGGTCTCCAGGTCAGAGTAGGTCCCCAGTTACCTATGCTGGTCTCCAGGTCCGGTTAGGTCCCTTGTTACCTGTGATGGTGTCCAGGTCAGGTAAGATCCCCAGTTACCTCTACTGGTCTCCAAGGGTTAGGTCCCCAGTTACCTATGCTGGCCTCGGGGTTAGATTAGGTCCCCAGTTACCTATGCTGGTCTCCAGGTCAGGTTAGGTTCCCACTTACCTATGCTGGTCTCCAGGTCAGGTTAGGTCCCCAGTTACCTGTGCTGGTCTCCAGGTCAGGTTAGGTCCCTTGTTACCTGTGCTGGTCTCCAGGTCAGATGAGATCCCCAGTTATCTATGCTGGTCTCCAAGGGTTAGGTCTCCAGTTACCTATGCTGGTCTCCAGGTCAGGTAAGGTCTCCAGTTGGCTATGCTGGTCTCCAAGGACACAGACAAACAAACAGCCATTTTTTATTCACATGTGCTTATCCTCACTGAGCCAGTGCAGGGGATTAAAAGTCACTGCCCAAAACGCCCATAGTAGTCAGTGGTGAACTCAGCTGAGGATTTTACCAGTATCCCTCAAAACCTATGAAAGCTGAATTTCACTGAAATGTAAGTGACCACTTAAGTTATCAATGAGATAGTATAAAATACTGGGAACTTCATTGTAAAAAGGCAAATGAACCTGCGATTGTCTAGTTCATTCCCAACAAGGTTTAAAGTGCCGAATGAAACGAAGATGACGTCCCGTATACACTGGAAATACTTCTGCTGCATGTCCAGCCAGTTTAGGTTTTACACCAATATTCCATCAATATCACGGTTAGTGGGACATACAAAATGGGCTTCACACATTGTACCCATGTGCGGAATCGAAGCCGAGCCTTCGGCGTGACGAGCAATCGCTTTAAACACTAGGCTACGCCACCGCCCTGCTCATACTTCTGATGATCAAGCGTAAAAGGCCACTATGCTTGTCGAAAGAAGCGACTAACGGGATCGGGTTGTCAGGCTCGCTGACTTGGTTGATGCATGTCATCACTCCCAATTGCCTGGATCGATGCTCATGGTATTAATCACTGGATTGTCTGGTCCAGACTCGATTATTTACAGACCGCCGTCATATAGCTGGAATATTGCTGAGTGCGGCGTTAAACAACAAACCAACCAACCAATCTGATGATCAAGAACCTTGCTTATAACCAGTTTCATGACAATTATACATGATAGTTCTGTTGAAATGGTAAGCCTAAAAAATAAATGAGACGATCACTGCGGTATGTCTCATGTTTCCATTAGTGCTGCGGCAACAGCGACAACTGTTTCACCTATGTGTAAACTTCAATATGAATTAAATAGACGTAATCTGTAGAAAATTTGTCTGACATTTATAAGACCTACACAAGGTGTAACCGATATTTGGTTTGATTTCATGTAATGTACTAGGGTTTAGGGTTAATTTGTCGGATATTATGTCTTGCTATTGTGGTTCCCCATTGCGAAAATGCTTTTCACTATTTTCTTGAATGTTAAAAAATATACTTCAATAAAACAATCTTTGTTTATCAACATTAGGAATATAGGGACTCAGCCCAATTTAGAAACAATTCCAATTGGTAACAAAATCTATCCTAGGAACAAATATGTCCATCAATTTATTGTAGAAACAAACATATTTCAAATTTATCTAAATGTAAAAAGAATTATATTTATCACCAGCTACTTCTTAATTATCCTGTTTTACATGTGACTTGCACATTTAATACATGCTTGTTTCAGTACAAAAAAGTCCTACTTATATATTATTAGTTTTTGTTAGTTTTGGTTTTCGATATTACTTCGATTTTGATGTTAAAAAATAGCGTTCAATGTAATTATCACAGTTTAGATACATTCTAAATTCCCCACCCTTCACTTACATTTCAAAGGTGCATTTGTTAATATTAACTGCTGTGGTATTATATAAATATATTAAATATCTCTCACAAATGTATCATTGTATACCAATGAATATAAATGTATCTCATGTATGTATACGCGTGTATATGTATGTGTGTGTATGCGCATGTAGGTGTATGTGTTTGTGTGTAATACTGTCGATATTAGTGTCTGTTATTATATATTCTCATTACTTGAATATAATTCGTATGCACTGAACATTTATTCTGCACTGGCATTATTCACATATTACAAGACCCGTGAAGATCCGGGGTGGAATAAGTCTTCAGCAACCCATGCTTGCCGTAAAAGGCGACTATACTTGTCGTAAAAGGCGACTAACGGGATCGGGTGGTCAGGCTCGCTGACTTGGTTGATGCATGTCATCGATCCCAATTGCGTGGATCGATGTTCATGATGTCAATCACTGGATTGTCTGGTCCAGACTCGATTATTTACAGACCGCCGTCATATGGCTGGAATATTGCTGAGTGCGGCGTAAAACAACAAACAAACAACAACATGCATGATACCAACAAGATGGGAAAAAGTGAACATGCTGAATAAACGGCTGTACACTTGTATGTTATATGGATAGGAGATTCGCTTCTAATTGTTTGTACTTGACAAAGGAATGATATCAAACCTCGAAAAATATGGATATTGACACATAACAACAATACATGTAATTCCACGTAATCAAAGCCTCCAGCATGGGAGAATAAAGACACGTTTGGTATACGGAGTCTTTGTTTGACGGCCGCACTCAGCAGCAAGTCTGACGTTATGACACTGAAACATGGTTAGTATGTTCCTTTGATAAGAGAGAAGATCACCAGTTAAATAGGTCATGCAGTAAAGATATTAGCTAGTATAATAGTATAATATAAGAGTATAATAATTACATTTACTTGAAGCGTCAAGGTGTGATGACAATGTTGAAAGAAGCCATCATAAAATCTCTGTTCGAAAAGTACCTGAAATGATGAGATGCGAGCTATATCTTGAGACAGCCAAATAAATTCAAAACCATATCTTAGCAAATTACTTCTTATAGGGGATGTCTTTTTACCATCATTATCAAGAGTTTTAATTATGTTATATGCTTGCTGGGGAAGTCTATGCTGTTTTTCCTGGATCAGTCTGCACCAGTGCTTCACCTCTCTGTGTGTATAATGATATTGCTTGGAGGCTCTGCCACACCCTCCCAGGACCATTAGTTATTAGTATACTTGTTTACTCTCAGCAATGATTTACAGACTATCGTGTGCACCCCCTCGATGACGTTACAGTAAGCGGTTCCCGATATCTCAGCTCCATAAGCACTGAATAGGTGTGAACATAGCATAAAAAATGTTTAAAAGATCATTATGACAAAGATATCCAAAACGTTTCTGATAGTTGTTAATTGAGAATACTGCTCTTCTTGTGCTGCTAAACATGTTTAAACCTTTGTTCGTGACAATTTGGGTGAAAAAACAATGCCACGATATCTGTACTTGTTCACAACTTCAATTTCTTCTCCATTTAGAAACTATTTTTTCATTCCTGCGGTGGGGACCTCCCTTTCTATGTACCATTATTCTAGTTTTTTTTAGATTTACTTTCCTTCCGGTTTTGAACAAAAACATTCCAGGACATAAATTTTCTTTTGAAACTGTAAAGCAGTGTAAGATACAGGTGAAACATCAGCAAATAATAGGTGAAGTGAGGTGAAATTGGGTTTCACGTCGTGTCCAAGATTATTGCACTTATATAGCGACGTGCATGCACGTGTGTGTGTGTGTGTGGCTGCTTGTACTAGTCCGGACTGATGCCGATTTATAGCGCCAGCTCACTGAGATACCATGCCGCAGTTTCACATGAATACCCCACTCAGACACAATATACTAACTCCGTGCTTGTCGTAAAATGTTACTATGCTTGTCGTAAAAGGCGACTAACGGGATCGGGTGGTCAGGCTCGCTGACTTGGTTGATGCATGTCATCGATCCCAATTTCGTGGATCGATGCTCATGATGTCAATCACTGGATTGTCTGGTCCAGACTCGATTATTTACAGACCGCCGTCATATAGCTGGAATATTGCTGAGTGCGGCGTTAAGCAACAAACCAAACCAACCAACCGAGCCGACCAGTCCTTGGGTAACAACAAGTACCATCTTTTAACGTCGTATGGTATGACGCGGCCGGGGATCGAGCCTCGGACCTTCCGCTCTCCGGGCGGACGCTCCACCACCAGACAACAGAGGCGGTTTCAGCAAATAATAATGAAAAACACATCAGATATATACGGGGATTTAAACCACCCCTCCCACCTTCCTGCAACAACATTGTAGCAAGCTGACTGATGAAAGTTATGAAGATTTGGGGACTCTTGGTGGGTGTCAATGTTACAACCGAAGTATGGTGATAATCCAGAGTCAGTTCTCACACAAGCATACAGTGATGCAATCATGTTTACTACAAACCTGAAGAATTTACCTCTAGCACCAAGCTTTAAGAGACTTTTAAACAATATTTCATGATTTATGCAGTCAAAAGCTTTGGAGAAGTCACTAAATAGACAATAAAACCTTCTATTTTTCTTTGATAAATATTTGTTGATCAAAGCTTGCAATGTAAATATACGTCCCGTGGTGGAATAATTTTGTCTAAATCCAGCTTGTGATTCAGTTATTATATAGTTATTATCACACCAGTCTGTTATTTACAACTGAAGTAAGAAGTAAGGGTTTATCAATGATATTCCTCTAAAATTGTTTGGGTCACGCATACTGCCAGATTTATGTATAGGGCACATCATGCTTCTTCTCCAGCTCTCATGGAATATGCCACTGCCATGCAGTATTAAACAGCTTCGTTAATACAGGAGCTATATAGTTCCTTCATTGAAATAATTCACTTGCTAATCCATCTGAACCTAATGATTTGCTACTTTAATATTTCTCAAAATGGAACACACTTCTTCCTGTGTGAAGTTTAATTCACCCATGTAGTCATGACTGTCTGCTTCATAATCTCTATCACCCCATATCTCATTAGAGTAATCATATTTAGGGTCACTATTTAGGGTTTTCAAATGGTCATACAGTTTCTCTACTGATACACCTGGGGTGACTGTAGAATAATCGCTGTATGATTGTAATACTTCCCCAAATGACTTTAGATCATTCCTTGACTCATTTATCCTTTCAGTTTGGAAATATTCATCCTTTTTCTATCTGATAGTTTTTTAAACCTCCTAATGCTAATATTCTTCCTAAAAGTCCTAAGAGCTCTCGCAGATACATATTCTCTTTGCTTAATTTCGTCTAAGTCATGGTCTCACCAAGGTGGTTACACTGAGGTTAAAGGTGATTGGTTATTTTAATATACACTCTTGAGCTGATCAGCTACATTATTATAGAGTTTGATATAGCACTCATATTTAAGCTTTGTTCCTCATCCGCCTCAATCTGCTTGTTAATAACATCACAACAAATAACTCAAGTCGTTGAAAGGCATTTAGAAGTGATACCAATATGGAAGAGAATTTATGGATGTCAACTTCTTTATTATGAGGAATACAACGTTTCGGAGTATATGCTTACTCCTGCATCAGGTGAATAGGGCAAGGCCCAAACAGGACTTTATGAACAACACGAACACTCACGTTTTACCCTGGCTGACATGTTCCCCTGACATGAACCCCATTGAACATGCATGTAATCACCTTGACCTACAGATCAGAAAACGACCCGCGGTTCCAGTCAGCCTCATGAATTGGAACAATCTCTACTTCTGGAATCGCAGCGGATTACCCCAAACGTAATCGGTGCGACGTCCTGTTCAGGCGTGAATTAATGTACACGGTGGATATGGTCGGTATTAAGTTGGATTTGAATGTGCTATCAGAGATTGTAAAGCGATGTGATGTTGTAAAGTGTTGTGACGGTAATATTGTGAAACTTGCCCCTATGCGTCTCTGTGTGTCAGTCAGTCGTATTGGTTTCGTGAGTGAGTGAGTGAGTTGGGTTTAACGCCGCTTTTAACAGAATTACAGTTATATCACGGCGTGTCAGCTTAATGTGGGAGGAAAGCTCGAAGTGATGCAGGTCTCAGACGTTTACCACTTCGGTGAAACCCACGAGCACGGGTATGGTGCTGACAAACCTAAAAACATAATCGGGGCGAACCGGGATTCGAACCCACAATCATAGGTTTCTGGCGTGCCCAAGGGACGCAACTCTCCACAGCGAATCGCGGCGCCTTAGACGACTGGGCCCCCCGTTTGAATGACATGAGCAGGTTAACACATTACGTTAAAACACGACTCTAATGGCATATTGACTTTATACATGCTTCCGTTTTTCTTTCATAGTCTCTCAAACTCTTGGTATACTTTCTTTGTATCTGAAACATTATTATGTTTTTCAAGCGTTTTAATTTGGGACAATTTATGTTTTCAATATAATCAAAGTATATATCGCCTGTGGGTGAATGTAACGTTTGTTGGTGACTGTATCGCCTGGGGGTGAATGTAACTTCAGTAGATGAATGTAACGCTTGTTGAAATAGTTTACCGCCTATACAGGCTACAGGTTATAATGGGTAGAAAGACGATAGGCTATGATTGTGTTGAACTCCCTATCTGTGTGTCACGTGTCATGTGTGGGATATCACGTAGTTTCAGATCGAGACAAAACAGCTTTTAGTTCTAATCATATCTCACGCTTGACTGGCCACAGATTACGATCACAACACTTCTCCGGGATAAGTGAGTGCAGCAGTGTGTGGTGGCTGTGAGAGTGTTGTGCCGAGCCCCGCCAGTCAGTCAGTCAGTCAGACAGGGTAGCTAGCTGCCTCTCATTAGTCACATCGACGTCACGTGACGTGCTTTATTAGTAAACGGCATTAGACTTTATCAGATTATATACTGCGACGGTGGAAGTCACAACCCTCCAGACATCTTGACGAAGGGAATAAACAACCTTCACTTCTCATATATTTTGATTCCGAATACAGGTATGTCAATGTGATTTGATATTAACTGAAGAATTTCACATTTTAATAAAACAAAAGAAAAGCACTATATTTCCAATAGTATATACAGCCTTGGATGTTTAAACCCTATTTGTTTCATGGTATACAACACCCGAGATTAATACACCTAATTGAATACTTATCAGCTTCATTCAGATTTAATATACGTTAATATGTGATATACGATCGACAACGCTTAGATGTTTTCTACTTTAAACCTACTTATGTGTTACTTACGATCAATCACATTAAGATTTAGCATACTTTAATTTTGCTATATCATGTTACGCAATATGTTACGTAATATCAATCTCATTAAAGGTCTACCACAAGCATATCTAGATGTTATCCACAATCAATCACTATATATATACTGACAAGTACAGTGACATGTTTCATACTACAGGAATATCTAGATGTTATACACCATCAGTCACTATATATATACTGACAAGTACAGTGACATGCTTCATACTACAGAAATATCTAGATGTTATACACCATCAACCATTATTTATCTGTTGACAAGTACAGCGACATAATATAGACATAGGTCAATGTTATGCAAAATCAACTACTATTTACATACCGACAAGTACAGTGACATGTTTCATACTACAGGAATATCTATATGTTATAAACCATCAATCACTGCATACCTACTGACAAGTACAATGACATGTTTCATACTACAGTAATATCTACTGACAAGTACAATGACATGTTTTATACTACAGGAATATCTAGATGTTATACACCATCAATAACGACATACATACTGACAAGTACAGTGACAAGTTTCATACTCCAGGAATATCTGGATGTTATAAACCATCAATCACTATATGCAAACTGACAAGAATACTGACATGTTTCATACTACAGGAATATCTAGATGTTATACACCATCAACCACTTTACACATACTTACAAGTATACTGACATGTTTCATACTACAGGAACATCTACATGTTATACACCATCAACCATTATATATATATTGACAAGTACAGTGACATGATAGAGGCATATGCCGATGTTCTGCAGCATCAACAACTTTTTACATACTGACAAGTACAGTGACATGTTTCACACTACAGGAATATCTAGATGTTATACACCATCAGCATATATATATATATATTGGCAAGTACAGCGACATACTACAGGCATATGTCGATGTTATACACCATCAACCACTATATATATACTGACAAGTACAATGTCATACTACAGGCATATGTCGATGTTATGCACCGTCAGTCACTATATACATACTGACATGTTTCTTACTACAGAAATAGCTAGATGTTATATACCATCCTTCAGTATATACATACTGACAAGTACAGTGACATACTACAGAAATATCTCGATGTTCTACACCATCAGACACAATATATATACTGACATGTTTCATACAACAGAAATATCTAGATGTTATGCACCATCAGCAACAATATATATACTGACATGTTTCATACAGCAGAAATATCTAGATGTTATACACCACCAGCCACAAGATATGTATATATACTGACATGTTTCATACAGCAGGTATATATCGATTATATACACAATCAACCACTATTTATATACTGATATGTTTTATACAACAGAAATATCTACATGTTATACACCATCAGCCACAATATATATATATACTGACATGTTTCATACAACAGAAATATCACCATGTTATACACCATCAGCCACAATATATATATATACTGACATGTTTCATACAATAGAAATATCACCATGTTATACACCATCAGCCACAATATATATATATATATATACTGACATGTTTCATACAAGAGAAATATCACCATGTTATACACGATCAGCCACAATATATATATATATATATATATATATATACTGCCATGTTTCATACAACAGAAATATCACCATGTTATACACCATCAGCCACAATATATATATATATACTGACATGTTTCATACAACAGAAATATCACCATGTTATACACCATCAGCCACAATATATATATATACTGACATGTTTCATACAATAGAAATATCACCATGTTATACACCATCAGCCACAATATATATATATATACTGACATGTTTCATACAAGAGAAATATCACCATGTTATACACCATCAGCCACAATATATAAATACACTGACATGTTTCATACACAGAAATATCTAGATGTTTTACAACATCCACCGTTATATATATGTTGACAAGTACAGCGACATACTACAGGCATATGTCGATGTTATGCACCGTCAGTCACTATATACATTCTAACAAGTACAGTTACATGTTTCATACTACAGAAATAGCTAGATGTTATAAACCATCCTTCAGTATATACATACTGACAAGTACAGTGACATACTACAGAAATATCTCGATGTTCTACACCATCAGACACAATATATATACTGACAAGTTTCATACAACAGAAATATCTCGATGTTATACACCATCAGCAACAATATATACACTGACATGTTTCATACAATAGAAATATCTAGATGTTATACAGCACCAGTCACTATATAAATACTGACAAGCACAGTGACATACAGGAAAATCTAGATGTTATACACCACCAATCACTATATGCATACTGACAAGTACAGTGACATGTTTCATACTACAGGAATATCTAGATGTTATACACCATCAACCATTATATATATGTTGACAAGTAAATGTGACATAATAGAGGCATATTTCGATGTACTGCAGCATCAACAACTATTTACATACTGACAAGTACAGTGACATGTTTCACACTACAGGAATATCTAGATGTTATACACCATCAATCACTACATACATACTGACAAGTACAGTGACATGTTTCACACTACAGGAATATCTAGATGTTATACACCATCAGTCACTATATACATACTGACAAGTACAGTGACATGATTCACACTACAGGAATATCAAGATGTTATACACCATCAGGCACTATGTATATACTGACAAGTACAGTGACATGCTTCATACTACAGGAATATCTAGATGTTGGACACCATCAGTCACTATTTACATACTGACAAGTACAGTGACATGATTCACACTACAGGAATATCTAGATGTTATACACCATCAGTCACTACATACATACTGACAAGTACAGTGACATGATTCACACTACAGGAATATCAAGATGTTATACACCATCAGTCACTATATGCATACTGACAAGTACAGTGACATGATTCACACTACAGGAATATCTAGATGTTATACACCATCAGGCACTATGTATATACTGACAAGTACAGTGACATGTTTCACACTACAGGAATATCTAGATGTTTTACACCATCAATCACTACATACATACTCACAAGTACAGTGACATGTTTCACACTACAGGAATATCTAGATGTAATACACCATCAGTCACTATATACATACTGACAAGTACAGTGACATGATTCACACTACAGGAATATCTAGATGTTTTACACCATCAGTCACTATATATATACTGACGAGTACAGTGACATGTTTCACACTACAGGAATATCTAGATGTTTTACACCATCAATCACTATATACATACTGACAAGTACAGTGACATGATTCACACTACAGGAATATCTAGATGTTATACACCATCAGGCACTATGTATATACTGACAAGTACAGTGACATGTTTCACACTACAGGAATATCTAGATGTTTTACACCATCAGTCACTATATACATACTGACAAGTACAGTGACATGATTCACACTACAGGAATATCTAGATGTTTTACACCATCAATCACTACATACATACTGACAAGTACAGTGACATGATTCACACTACAGGAATATCTAGATGTTATACACCATCAGTCACTATATATATACTGACAAGTACAGTGACATGTTTCACACTACAGGAATATCTAGATGTTATACAACATCAGGCACTATGTATATACTGACAAGTACAGTGACATGATTCACACTACAGGAATACCTAGATGTTTTACACCATCAGTCACTATATACATACTGACAAGTACAGTGACATGTTTCATACTACAGGAATATCTAGATGTTATACACCATCAGTCACTATATACATACTGACAAGTACAGTGACATGATTCACACTACAGGAATATCTAGATGTTTTACACCATCAATCACTACATACATACTGACAAGTACAGTGATATGTTTCACACTACAGGAATATCTAGATGTTATACACCATCAGGCACTATGTATATACTGACAAGTACAGTGACATGCTTCATACTACAGGAATATCAAGATGTTATACACCATCAGTCACTATATACATACTGACAAGTACAGTGACATGATTCACACTACAGGAATATCAAGATGTTATACACCATCAGGCACTATGTATATACTGACAAGTACAGTGACATGTTTCACACTACAGGAATATCTAGATGTTATACACCATCAGTCACTACATACATACTGACAAGTACTGTGACATGTTTCACACTACAGGAATATCTAGATGTTATACACCATCAGGCACTATGTATATACTGACAAGTACAGTGACATGATTCACACTACAGGAATATCTAGATGTTTTACACCATCAATCACTATATACATACTGACAAGTACAGTGACATGATTCACACTACAGGAATATCTAGATGTTATACACCATCAGGCACTATGTATATACTGACAAGTACAGTGACATGATTTACACTACAGGAATATCTAGATGTTTTACACCATCAGGCACTATGTATATACTGACAAGTACAGTGACATGATTCACACTACAGGAATATCTAGATGTTATACACCATCAGGCACTATGTATATACTGACAAGTACAGTGACATGATTCACACTACAGGAATATCTAGATGTTTTACAACATCAATCACTACATACATACTGACAAGTACAGTGACAACAACAACTATTTACATACTGATAAGTACAATGACATGTTTCACACTACAGGAATATCTAGATGTTG